AAAAATATACATTAAAAGATATTTTTGCAATATGATTTATAATATAAAAAATGGAGGCTGGGCATGGTGGTTCACACCTGTAATCCCAGCACTTTGGGTGGCCAAGACAGGTAGATCACAAGGTCAAGAATCTGAGACCAGCCTGGCCAACATAGTGAAACCTGTCTTTACAAAAAATACAAAAATTAGCCAGGTGTGGTGGCACTTGCCTGTAGTCCTAGCTACTCGGGAGGCTGAGGCATCAGAATCACTTGAACCCTGGAGGTGCAGCTTGGTTGCAGTGAGCCAAGATTGTGCCACTGCACTCCAGCCTGGGTGACAGAGCGAGACTCAAAAAAAAAACAGAAACAAGCTAAATTCCACAGTCAAAATTTGCTATATTCATTCAATAAAGTATTAAATAGCCAACAAAATAATCTTTCCAAAGATAATGTAATGATGTGGGGTGATACGGTTTAGCTCTGTGTTCCCACCCAAAGCTCAGCTCCAATTGTAATCTCCATAATCTGTATGTGTCAAGGGAGGAAGCAGGTGGAAGTGATGATTGGATCACGGGGGCGGTTTCCCACCCAAATCTCATCTCGAATTGTAATCCCCATAATCTCCCTGTGTCAAGGGAGGAAGCAGGTGGGAGGTGATGACTGGATGATGGGGGCAGTTTCCTCCTTGCTGTTCCCATGATAGTGAGTGAGTTCTCACGAGAGTTGAGGGTTTTACAAGGCGGTTTTCCCCGCTCTCCCTCGCCGTCTCCTGCCACCATGATTGTAGGATTTCTGAGGCTGCGGCAGCCGTGTGAAACTGGGAGTCAATTTACCTCTTGTCTTTATAAATTACTTAGTCTCGGGTATTACTTTATAGCAGTGTGAAAACAAACCAATATATGAGGTAAGTAAATACTCATTTTTTTATATTGAGAAAAATTGCCAAAAAGTTTTAGTATTTTGTAAGCACATTTGTATCTTTAAAATTCTGAAATTAATAATCAAAATGTTAATAGTTATTTCTGAGTGGTGTGATTATCACTGATTTTTAAGTTTAAAAAATTTTCCAAATTATCTGTAATGAGCCTGGGTTAATTATAAGGTCCTGAAATTACAGAGAAGTTAATGCCTCTTTCAGTTAGAATGAACTTGTACATTTATATTTTATTTGTGAATATATGCCTTATCTGTCCACAGAGAAGCTCCTAGCTTCAATATCTTTACTGCAGACGCTCCTTTAGTATATGAGTTGGATGGTTGTTCAGAAAGGTTTGGAATCATGGTTTGAGTGATCTTTTCATTGTTCCTGTTCTCTAGCAATACCTGGCAAATCCCAATGTATTCCCATTAAAAAGGCCATGTGCGAACTGGATTTAGTTAGGCACTCTGCATACAAAAACCATTTTTGAATGACACTCTTAGGACAAGTAAATAATTATTCATTTCTAAACCTTTGAAATTTTTTTAATAAATACATAAATATCACTGCCACAGAGTTAGCAGTGTTGAACACAACCCACTTTGTGTCAATGCAACTTCTAAACTGCCGCAGTAAAGGTCTACTCTATATCAAATCTAGCTTTTGCTAGAATTATGGCTCCTAAATTGCACTGTGGGTCTAGATTTGCTGCCACATGTTTTTTTGGGAGGCACCTGAAATCAGTTATCGGGCAATGAGAAATGGTTAGGCAAACTTTCCTGAGACACTTGGTGCTTCTCAGATTGTAGTGATGTTTGAGCTTCTGATTTACATGTGTGGGGGCAGAAATGCAGATGACAATTATTATTTCAGGTTTGAAACAATAACTCATTTTGGTGGAATTTCCACTTCCAAGTCTTTCTCAAGCAGCTGGGCTGCAGGGTGAGGACTGGTAGGTAGACTGTATCAACAAGCCAGCCCAGCCTCCAAGCTGCCAGCCCAGGGAGGAGGACAGGTGAGCGTCTGTAGGTAGCTTTTTGTTCTCCTCCTTGCTTCCTCACTTTTGTTCTCTCTCCTACCCCTAGAACATGACTCCAGCTTAATAGATTTCCTGACTACCGGTTTTTGGAATGAAGATAGCATTTTTGAGAACAAGTTCTGTATCGTGGTCATGAATACATGATTAATATCACTGCTGATTTCATCAGTGCCAGGAGCCTCTTCTTTAAGGCTAGGCTTTTGAGTAGGCAGCTGCCCAGGTATTGTGCTTTAAGGAGCTCTGGGAAAATCCTTGATGCAAAATATGTTCCCTATTCATGGTTGAGGGGCCAGCGTTTCTAATTTATTCATGCAGATATCTTGTGCTCTTTTCTTGGGGTCCTCTTTAAGATAGTGCATTTTTTTAACCTGGCTATGCTCTATGTTTACAGCGGATAGTACATTTTTATAAAGGTGCAAAACATGAAGTCACCAACACTTCACTGAGAGTCAGTTTATCAATTACTTTCTCCTTGACAGAAGAAGCAATATGATACCATACGTGGTTTGAGGAGTGGGTGTTTTTGATCTGTTTGGAAGGGAAGAATTCATCCTTGGTAAACATGACAGAATCTTCAACAGTAAAGATATTTCGACAATCAGATTGCATCATAATATCAAATCATAATAAGTAAATCTCCCAAATCCTAAAAAAAAAAAAAAAAAAAAAAAAAGTGAACAATAGGTAGCATGTTGAATGCCTTTTAACCATTCAACTTGGTGCAGTCAGATACGTAAATTTGAATACTGTTTGACCACTAGTTTTGCTTTTTAAGGCAAATTATCCCTCAAGTCCTCTCTGAGTAAGAATTGGTTGAGGGATCCTGGAAGATGTGACTTGGAGTTCATCATTTTTGGGAGAAGGAAGTTGAAGCAGCAGACCTGCTTGGTAAAGAGAAGTGTAACCTGCTTAAGTGGCTAAGGGAGTTTTTAAGGGCAGCCAGGTCTCATTCATCAGAGCCTGGCTAAACATGGTGTCTGGACCATAATGGAAGAATAATCAGTGTTGGTGGAAAAAAATGAATGACTTTCATACTGAGTGTTAGCTGAACAAGTTGAATTCTGTTTGTTCTTGGTGTTAATCCTTGTTTCAGGCAAACAACTGTCACTGACATCTCAACATCAAAACATTCAGGTGTAGTTTAAACTTTTAGACAACTGATTAGAGACTATGCACTTATGTGCTAAGTGTGCTGATTTCTTCTCTCTGCATATTCTCTGCTTTAATGTAGAAAGTATCTACTATAGGTAGGGCCCACACCTACTATTTTCTGGCCCAAGGCAAGAGCAGGAAGGGAGGCCCACACATCACATGTCTAAATAAACTATAAAAGTATAAACCAAGCTAACAAAGTGTTTAATAAAATGTGTTAGCCTCCCACCTTAACAGTACTCCCTAATTGCCTGGCAGGCTTAAATTGGATTTAGAATTTTTGGACTCTCAGAGTTTTGTGCTGAACTGTGGAGGCATGGGGAGAACTGTCCATGCCCACAGCCCCCACCTGGAAGAGCCTCATGTATGCAAGTAAAGACATCCAGAAGGCAGGAGCAAGCCTGTCACCCCTGCCTAGCCTCAATAAAGAGCCCTCTAAGACCCAGCGCGATTCAAACTGGCCATGATGCCTGGTGCTGTCGCTCTTTTGAGGATGGACTTGGGCCATAGGCCCACCCAGGTTCTTGAAGTGGGCTGAGGCCTTTGTGCAGGCCATTCTGGGATCCTGGGTACATGGAATAGTCTAGATCGTTGTGTCTAGATCTTCAGTGTGCATATAACCCACCTGGAAATCTTACCAAAATGCTGTAAATCTGGGGCAGGGCATTTCCAACAAGCTCCCAGGTGATACTGATGCTGCTGGTTTGAGGACCTCACTTTTGGCAGCCAGTGCCCAGGAGGAATGGGCTCCAGCTGGATATGTTCTCCTTGGGCTCAGACCACAAGGTCCAGGGAGAGCTAGAAGGGCGTCCTCTACACTGTGGGTCCCAGGCAGAGGCCTCTTGCCCCTTCTTTGCCCACATCCCCATTGCATCAATACGCTGTGTTCCCACACTGCTGCGCCCTGGTCCTCCCCACCACTACGCCACCACCAGGCTTTGATCTCCCACCCACTCTCCCCGTCAAGTTTCTCTTGGCTCCTTTCTCTGCCTTCTTCCCCCTCCTTCCCCCGCTTTTCTCTTACGCCAGAAAACAAATGTAAAGTAGCATTTCAAAAATATTAAAAATGAATGCTGATGAAACCCTGTTTGTGTTTTCTGGGACTGTCAGCAAGCAGTAACAACACTCACAGACACAGCCTCTCCAGGCCCTTGCTGTTGTTTGTGAACAAAACCATATCTGCTCACCCATGACCCGAAATCAGGATTTCCAAACACAAAAATTTGCTGGTTTCGAGCAGACTGAGTTTTTTTCTCCCATATTTTTATTTTGACAAGGCTATTATGAAAGCTGCTATTTCATTATCTAAAGGAATCAAATCCGCTGCTAAAAATGAACCCTGCGAGTTTTTATTACCAGCAGGAAACACCTCTCCCCTCCCTGCCTGTTTCTGTGATGAAGCTTAATCCTCCAACTTGTGGTTCAAGTATTTGCGCTACTTTTGAGTTCTTTTCTTCTTTCCAAGGCTGCTTTTCACTATCGGCCTGAGTTATTTGAACAGGTGGCTTTGCACAATCTATGCTAATGGGAGGCTTTTGTCTGCTTTCAGATTGCACAGGGAGCCATTTAAGGGACAAATGTGTCTTTCTTGTTAAACTATTCACACCTGTCTTGAAAGCCACCCTTTGCTGAACTAAAATCCCATGCCAGAGAGGTCTTCCTCTAAGGGGGCACATGCTCAGCAAGGAAAAGACCACAGAACCCGTCTTTTTTTTCTGGGGCCCATGACAAGCAGCCCCAAGAGGACCGTTCTGTGGCATGTGGCCCAGTGCCCCCTGGTTCCGTGGGAAGTGAGTGGTCATTAAAGCTCCCCGCTAAGAAGGTCAGGAGCTGGGTGTAGGTGGACGTGCAAGGCTTCCGGGGGGACTTCGCTAGGCCACAGCCACTGGCCTGCGCCGGGTTCCCCTACCTTCTGTCCCCGGCCACTTTCCGCTGGAGCGTCGGACCCTGGGCAGGGCGGGAAGCAGAGCGCGCGGGATCCTGCCACAGAGCTGGGTCTGGCGCGCGATCACAAGCGGGGGCCCCCGGACGCTCAGCGCGCGCGCTCCCTGGCCACGGATCACAGGCGCCCGCACTCCGCCGCAGCTGGCCCAGGAGCCCGCCTGCTCCCTGGAACGTGATCACAGGCCAGGGCTCTGGCCCTGCGGGCAGGGAGGAGCGCGAACCCCGCCGGTGGGGAAAGCTCTGGCTTGCTGGCTCATTCCCATGAGGAGATCGGGGCTTCTTCCACCTCTCCTGAAGGGGTTGTGCGCCTCCGGTGGGAAGGGGGCTCGAAGAGGAGCGTTTTGCCTGGGCCAAGGCGCTTCGGTGGGGTCGTGCGGAACACAGCCAGCCACCTGGATCTAAAGTCCTCACCACGGACGCGCCATGGGTGGGATTTTCTAGAATTTTTTTTTTAAAGGCAACTGCACCCTGTTAGTTCACCGATCTGCAGAAAAGAAAATGAAGCGCGCAGGGAATAGGCAAGGCAGGCCTGGATAGAGTTTAAAGGGATCTGGTCCTCCCACAAAAGTGGGCATGATGCTGCCTGGTTCCCTCCTGGCCGCCACTCCCCACTCTCGCAGTCCGTGGGATCCTGAGCGTCTTCTCTCATGTTAGCCGCAGGCACTCAGGGCAGTTGTGTGTGTACACGTGTGTGTGCTTGTACACGTGTGTAAGCACACACAATCACAGGTAACCTTTTGGGACTCTGGGAGCTGCAAGGAAGGAGGACTGATCCCTGGTTTACCTACCCTGATGGTCCATTCCTTATCTCTATAGGAGGTCAAGGGAGACCGGCAGCTGGTTCCCATTCCAGTGGACAAAAGTCACAAAGAACTGTGGAGATCGCAGCATCCCCTTGATAAATATGCACTAGGCATCACCCGGTGACTAAACCAAATGGAATGTCTAGAAAACATGTAGCGTTGTTTTTCAAATTCGTGTAGGAGATGGGACTCATAGAATACAATTTCATCTTAAAGTATTAATGAATTCAGGGCGGCTCTCCTTCAGGGGCATTTGCCCTGTTAATAAAGCACAGTGGTTACAGCCGTCCTGGTGCCAGTAGGGGGAACTGTGTCTGCCTTTCCAACATCCATCCACTCCTTGCTCTCCCAATGTGCAGCCAGGTTTATGAACCACAAGTGACTGCTACTTGTCTTGAATTGGCTGAGGCCGGTGGTTCATAAACCTGGCTGCACATTAGAATCAGCTGGAAGCTTTGATTCCCTCATGTCCAGGCACTCCTACACCTCTTGAGTTGGTATCTCTGGAATAAGGGGTGATTCTGATCACAGAGTTGGGCACTACTAGTCCAAACCATCAGAGGAATCTCTTCCCCTTGCTCAAAGAGGAGCACTAGAGGCCCAAGCCAGTCAGCACATGGGAAGGGAATGTCAGGGAGGGGTACTGGACAGGAGGAAAAACACAGAGAAAACCTAGAAATAGGCAGCGCACTGTTAAGGAACAGTAAATGCTCCAGAAGCCAGAGACAGAGGGTCCATGATGGAAGGCGGCAGACAATGAGGCTAGAAGAGAGGATTAAGAATTTTTGTTAAGAATTCTAACTGGTACCACACACAACTTTATCTTTAATGGGGGAATCAAGCAAAAGGTTTAACTTTTAAACCTAAAATTGACGTGATCTGACTTGGTTTTCAAAAACGTGATGTTGGTATGTATGGATCTAAATGGGGAGAGATGGGGACCAGACACCTGTTAAGAGATGGAGGCAGTGTGCATGAGGACAACATGCTGTAGGACTGGGGAGTTATAGACATTCCAAAACCAGGACTGCCATGTCAGTTAGACAAATATGGTCTTGGTGTAGAATTATTTTATTATTTTAAGCTATTATAGTGGCTGGTAACAAATTCTAAGGAGGAGAGCCCCCCTCCAAAAAAAGGAAGAAATAAGTTATATTTTTTAGGTGCTAAGTTTTTCATGCATTCTCCAAATATTTTTAACCATAGAATACTGAAAATGATAACATACTGACAGAACATTATCAGGAGCTCTTAATCATATGCACGTGGATTAAGGAGAGAATAAAAATGTCAGATTAAATGCATGGGATTATCAAAATTTTGTCAATGTACTTATTTAAAAGTGGGTTTATTAAGATATATGTTACATAAAATGAAATTCACCCACTTTTAATGTTCAGGTTGATAAGTGTTGAAATGTATGCAATTATATACCTTCCTCCTAATTGAGATGTTCAATATTTCCATACTACCGGAAGCTACCTTATGCCTCTTTGCAGTCAATCCACTTCTACGTCTAGCCTTTGGCAATTGATCAGGTTTCTATCCCTCTAATGTTGCCTTTCTCAGGATATCAGATAAATGGAATAATATGGTTCATAACCTTTTGAGTCTGGCTTGTCTCCCTTAGCAAACTGCTTTTGAAATGCACCCATGTGGTTGCACTTAACAGTAGTTGGTTCCTGTTTACAACCAAGTGGGATTCCACTGTATGGTCTTATCACAAATTGTTTATCCATTTACTGGTTGGTGGCTGTTTGGGTTGGGGTGAAGATAGGTCCACATCCTAATCTCCAGAAACTGAATATTTGCTGGCGTGGGAAAAGGTATGACTGTCAATGATCTTAAGAAGAAGAACTTACCCTGGATTATGTGGGCGAGCCCTATATGCCATCACATGTATCTATAAGAGAGAGGCAGAGAGAGATTAGAGACAGACACGCAGAAGAGAGGTGACAGGAAGATGGGAGAAAGAGAGATGAAGCCACAGGCCAAGGAAAGCCAACAGCCAGCAAAGTTGGAGGAGGCAAGGAGTTATTCACAACCTAAACCCTCTACAAGAAGCAGGGCCCCGCCTGTACTTCTATTTTGGACTTCTGCCTTGAGAACCGTAGAATCAATGTGTTGTTTAAAGCAAGTCATGACAACTGTAGTTTCTTCACATTCTCAGCAGCTCTTGTTATTGTCAGTCTTTAGTTTTAGGGATTGTAATGCATGTGTAGTGGTATCTCATTTGATTTCAGTTCGCATTTCCCTAATGGTTAGCGATGTTGAACATCCTGCATGGGTTTGTCAGGTGGATTAATTTTTTATTTTTTGAGACAGAGTCTTGCTCTGCTGCCCAGACTGGAATGCAGTGGCACGATCTCGGCTCACTGCAAACTCTTTCTCCTGGGTTCAAGTGATTCTTGGGCCTCACCCTCCTGAGCTGGGACTATAGGCATATGCCACCACACCTGGCTAACTTTTCTATTTTTGGTAGAGACAAGTTTTGGCTGTGTTGGCTAGACTGGTCTTGAACTCTGATTTCAGGTAATCCACCCACCTCGGCCTCCCAAAGTGCTGGGATTACAGGTATGAGCCACTGCAGCTGGCTAAGGATTTGTTTTTGATACATTATGGACTACATGTAAAATTTCATCACATGCATAGAATATGTAATAACCACATCAGGAATTTGTATTTAGGGTATTTATCACTCAAATATTTATCATTTCTACATGTTGGGTATATTTCAAGTCCTGTTTTCTAGCTTTTTAAAAAGTAAAATACATTGTTGTTAACTATAATACTCTTCTATGACTAGAACTTATTTATTCTGGCTGGGCATGGTGGCTCATACCTGTAATCCTAGCACTTTGGGAGGCCGAGGCAGATGGATCACCTGAGGTTGGGAGTTTGAGACCAGCCTGACCAACATGGTGAAACCCTGTCTCTACTAAAAATACAAAAAGCTGGGTGTGGTGATGTGTGCTTGTAATCTCAGCTACTACTCAGGAGGCTGAGGAAGGAGAATTGCTTGAAGCTGGGAGGCGGGGGTTGCAGTAAGCCAAGACTGAGCCACTGCACTCCAGCCTGGGCAACAAGAGGGAAACTCTGTCTCAAAAAAAGAGAACTTATTTATTGTATCAACTGTATATTTGTACCCAATAGCTGGCTTCTCTTCAGCTCTTTCTCACACTCACACCTTTCTCAGTCCCTGGTGTCTATCACGTCAGTCTTTACCTACGTGTGATCAATTTTTTTAGCTCCCACATATGAGTGGAAACATGTAATATTTGTCATTCTGTGCCTGGCCATGTAGATTTTTTTTTAGTGAAAGGCCTATTCAAATATTTTGCTTAATTTTTATTACTGATAATTAATATACTTTTGATATACATTATAATGGAAAATTATTAGCAGATCGATTTTATTTTATTGAGAATGAATTATATCAAAGATAAAGCAATCTTTTGGTTAATGCTTTTTATTAGGAAACACAAACATTGAATAGGTATTTAGTGAACTCTATCTTACATCTTTATCACATATTAATGTCTGGAACAATGGGATTGAGTCAGAACTTCATATCAGCTGCAGCATCAAGTCTATTCATTCATTTTGTTTTTGTTGGAGCGCAGAGAGTGTTGTAGCAAAGGGAAGGAGAACACAAATCGCATGTTTTGCAATATTTGGGTCCCCTTGCAATGGGCTGCTCCAAAAATCATTAATTATTTCATCTTGCATAGCTCACCTTCTAGTTTTTCAGGATCTGGGCCTGAAATTATTCATCTTCATTCTGAACTGTTCAACTGTGTGCTTGTTCAGAGCCACAAAGTTGGCTTTTGATTTTAAACTGCCATCTTTCAGATACCTTCATGTAGAAAGTTGAGTAGAATACCTGTTTCAATATATAATGAATATTGAATACTACTACAAATATGTGCTGAAACGAGAGGCTGGTAGTTATCTAATAGACAGCGAACCACCATTAACTAACAAATGCTGCTGGCATATCCACAGGTGCCATGCAGTTACGCATCAGGTGACCTTCTGTATTCCTTCCTGGCTTCCCCAAGTATACTCTAGCATTTTTAAAAGGGACCTAATTATATATTTAATAATAACCTCTGTATTCATATACTTAATATTGATCTGTGATATATACGTAATTTTAAAACATACTTTAGAAGAAGATACAGTCACCCCACAGTATCCAATGGAGGGACTGGTCTTGGGATCCCTTGCAGATAGCAAAATATGTGGATGCTTAAGTCTCTGATATAAAATGATATAGCATTTGCATATAACCTATACAGTCCTCTCATATACTTTAAATCATCTCTAGATTATTTACAAGACCTAATGAATATTGTATAAAGCTTGAGGCTGTAAGAAATTATAGCTACCATGAAAAAAAATCA